ACAGGAGGGATGATGGATGTTGTTTAGCAGTAAGCAGGAGAGGCCTTGGGTGCGGGCTGAGCAGATTTGCAGTCAGCACTGACATTTGCCGGGAGTGAGGTCATGGGAAACTGACGATCTGAAGCATTGGATCATTCATATTTTCATTCATTCATTCATCTTAGCAGTCAGATCCTGAGAATATGTGGTGAGAGCATTTAGGCGTCAGGGATGAAGTCAATATCTCTCTCCTCTCGTTTTAAATCTCTGCTCTAGGTTAGTGATCATCATTTAAAAAATAAACAAAAGCCACATTGATAATTATCACAGTTCCCCAAGAGAAATTCTGAAGGTTCTTGAATATCTGTAGTCTTAGCAAGTCAACATTGAACTTGGCATGGACCGAGATGCAGAACCTCTCATTTCAGAGGCATCCTTTGGTGCATGGTTTGGTAGTTCAGCTAGTTCATTCCTTTCTTCCTTTCCCTCCCTCCCTCCCTCCCTCCCTTCCTCCCTCCCTCCCTCCCTCCCTTCCTCCCTCCCTCCCTCCCTTCCTCCTTCCCTACTTCCCATGTGTCACACTGTTGCTATGGAAATATGCACAAATATCTGTTCATCCCAGACAGGGAACCAGTAACAGCCAAAGCAAGGAACCCATGAAAGTCCAGTTGGTCAGTCAGTGAGTGTGCTGGGGTCCCTTACAGGAGCGGAAATCACTCAAAAGCGGCTGTGCCACCAAAGTCCACCCCAGTGTGGGTAATGGGTCAAGATGGAAAATGTGGAGTGCAAGGCACAGCTGCAGGGGCTCCACAGTCAGGAGACCATCTTTTCCAGATAACTGGACCCCTACTGGTGTCTGATCTGTGAGTATCTCCCAACCATTCTTACTGCTTATCTCCTGGGCGGGGGGGGGGGGGGGGGGGGGGGGTGGCTATTAAAGATTCTGTTCAGTTTCAGAGACTTCAGAAGCCTTTGATTTGTTTACTTCAGAAGCTTGATGAGCTTCCCTGCAGGATGAAAGGTGTGAAACCTCTGAGGAAATTGCTCTCCAACACCTCCCTCCCTCCCTCCCTCCCTCCCTCCCTCCTTCCTTCCTTCCTTCTTTCTGCCCTCCCTCCTTCCTTCCCTCCTTCCTTCCTTATGCCCTCCCTCCGTCCTTCCTTCCTTTCTTATGCCCTCCCTCCGTCCTTCCCTCCTTCCTTATGCCCTCCCTCCCTTCTCCTCCTCCTCCTCCTTTTTTTTTTTTTGATACTTCTTCATGAGAGACACCCAAGTGAAAATCTGTGATCTACACAGCATTCAAGCTCTGATTTGGGCTGAAACTCCAGTTTAGTAAGGCAGCCAGGCTGCTTTGTAGACACAGAAACACCCCAGATGACGGTGTGCCAATGGCCAGGAGGAGGTGGTGCACACCTTTAATCCCAGCACCCAGGAGGCAGAGGCAGAGGCAGGTAGATTTCTGTGAGTTTGAGGCCAGCCTGGCTTACAAGAGCTACTTCCAGGACAGCTAGGACTGTTACACAGGGAAACCCTGTCTCAAAAAGACCAAAAACAGTGTGCTGATTATTAACTAGGGCCTGAAACCCCAAGTTGCGAGTGCTGGGGGGAGGGGCAGTAGTTCAAGATGGCCTCCGAGGGACATTCCAGAGGGCATCAATTTCTAATACATATTCTAGAAGATCCCCAAAGGCAAGAGCTGTCTCAGCAGTCTTCCTGGCACCCCTACAGACTAAGGCATTCTGCCTTAGGGTCTCCCACCTGTCTCAGTCAGAGAGAGACCTTCCCCTGCAGAGATTCTCCGGCTTCAGACGTCCGTCTGAGGATTACCATCCCTTGTGCACACACCTGAAGACATCTTTATCAGCTTGTCCTCAGCACACAAGCAATGTGGAAATATCTCCCTGAAAGGGGGGGGGGGAGAAAACCAACTTCAAAGGAGCTAAGGGTTTTTTTGATTTTGGTCAAGGTGTCAGAGGCAGTTCAAGGCCACTTGGCCCTGCTGCTTTCAGTCTGTGGTGGCATTGTCAATCACGGCAAGAACTTGTGGTGGCAGAAACAGCTTCCCTGTGACAGCAGGGAGGGGCGGGGTCCCAGTGTCTACTACAAGGTCACGCCCCAGGGACACAACCTCCTCCCACTGTGCTGCCCCACTTCCTAAAATCTTCATATCTCCCAATAGTGCCTGAGGTAAATAACAATGTCTTTGGCTTTGAGGACCATTCAGATTGAAGCCATAACAAGAGAGACATTTTACTACAGCTTTGTACTTCTGTTAGCCATAGGTAATTTTCTCTTCTGCCACTGTTCCATCAGCAAGAGGTGGCTCCACAAAATTATTTACTTTTATTAACAGTGCATTGGTGTGCACACATATCTGCATGTATGACTGTGCATCTTGTGTGTGCAGTGCCCGCGGATGGAAAAAGGGCACCCAATCCTGGAACTAGAGTTAAAAATGGGTGTGAGATGCCCAATATGGGTGCTGGGGATTGACCCCGGGTTCTCTGCACGAGCAGCAAGGGCTTTTAACTTCAGAACCGTTTCTTTAACCCTGGAGATGATGTGTTGTTTGGTTTATTTGTGAAGTTGACACAAGCTAGGGTCACCTACAAAGAGGGACCCTCAGTTGGGAAGATGCATCATAGATTGGCCTCTGAGTAAACCCACGGGAGCACTTCTTGATTAGAGATTGATGCAGGGTGGGACAGCTCACTGGGGTGGTGATGTTCCTGGGCACATGGTCCTGGGTCCTCCAGAAAAAGCCAAGCTGAGTAAGCCAGGAGGAGCGAGCCAGAAGCAGCGTCCTTCCATGGCTTCTGCTTCGCTCCCTGCCTGACTGCCCTAGTGACAGACTGTGACCGGAAGCTTGGAAGCCGGAATAAAGCTTTTCCTCCCCAAATTGCTTTTGGCCGTGGTGTCTTAGCACAGCAATGGGAAGGCTAGCCGGGACAGTGGTAGTGCGGTAGCATATGCGACAGACAAATGCTTGGTCTTCCTCTGCAGAGGTCCCCGTACTCCCTTAAACCCTAGCCTTGAACGTACAACCCACCTGCTCCCTTCTCTGCAGTGTCCAGGAACACAGGCCAGTGCCGCGAGCCAGCTAGGAGCTACACTAGATGAACGAATAACTAGTTTATAGTTTGCTGCCCCACTGTGATTTTTATTAGATTTACATAGAAAACACAAGTTGGTTTTTTGTTTTTGTTTGTTTTTCTTGCTGGGCTGTCCTCATCTGTGGAAATCATCTTCTGTTTTAATATCAGCTTTTGTCTGTTCCTTCTGGAAATCCTCAGGGTTCTGTGACCCCAACATTGATAGTCACCTTCCTGGGCTGCACTGGGCCCCTGGTGAGTGTGGCAGGGTCACCTTCCTGGGCTGCACTGGGCCCCTGGTGAGTGTGGCAGGGATCAGGGCATCCTGACTGGGAACTGCATGTGTGCCTTGGGTTCTTCTTCTCACTTACTGACATAATCTGTGAGCCATATTTTTCCTCACTGGTGTCTAGAAAAAGCGTTAGGTGAGTGCTGCTTCTCGTTGACTAAATACCTCCGCACCCTGCACGGATGCAGCACCGCGCGTGGGCACAGCAAACGGTAATTAGTTCGGAATTCTGAGGGGGCAGCAGGAAGTTAGACTTGGCCATTTCAACCCGTCTACGAATAGGCGCCATTTATTAACATCTTGGAAACATAATTTCCTCTTGAATAACGTTTCCGAATGTTAAGGTGGCCATACAAAAGGAAGTCTAAACTCCGCGCCCAATGGGACTAGCTCTTAGCAGTTTCACTCTGTAGTGTCCCAAATGCCGCTGGATGAAGGCAGAAACGGGAATAACTGGGATTACTTATCTGTTCTGTGCCTGCTACTGGGGGGATCAGATCTGTAGCCACCTGCCCTAGCACAGTGCAGGTGCTAATAGTAGCTCTTAAACATAGCCTGGTCGCAACTGCGCATCTCTGTCTACAGTGCTCAACACCCCTAGACACGTAGTCAAAACATGGAGACTCACTGGGGGCCTCAAAGACGCTTTTAGAAGAGCTTTTAAATTCAGGGCCTGGGTGTGGTGGTGCATACCTGTAATCCCAGCGTTTAGGAAGCGGAGGCAGGAGGATTAAGAATTCACAGTCACCTCAGGTGATGGTGGCACACACCTTTAATCCCAGCACTCTGGGGGAGGCAGAGGTAGGCAGATCTTTGAGTTCAAGGCCAGCCTGGTCTACAAGAATAGTTCCAGGATGGGTTCCAAAGCTACAGAGAAACCCTGTCTCGAAAAAACAAAAACCAAAATAATAATAATAATAATTTCAGGGTCATAGAGCAAGCTTGAATCCAGCCAGGCAGGGCTGCAATACCAATACAAATGAGGACAAAGCTTTTTAAAACAAACACTGGAGAGGTGTCACCGTTAGCCCAGCCACTCTGGGAACAATTATTCCATTGTTAAATTTTAATTTATTATTGTTATTTTATTATTATTATTATTTGTATGGCGTGTAAGTCACATGTGTACGAATGAGGTCAGGGATTCAGCCTTTCCTGGTTTTCCCTTTACACTGTGGGTCCTGGAGATCACACTCAGGAATAAAAAGTACCTCAGTGAGAAAAAAAAATTTTACTTTTTTCTGTCCTCTTCCCTTTTTTTCTTTTCCATTTTCTTTATTTTTTCTTCCTCTGCTCCTTCCTTCCTTCCTCCTCCCTCCCTCCCTCCCTTGTTAGTTGAACTACAAATTTAGAAAATAGCATAATTTAACTTTTGGCAATGACTTCACAGCTGTTAGTGCAGCCGAGCCCATTTTTGTGTTCAATGAACTATTAATTAAACACAAGCGGCTTCAGCATTCATCACCCTTTCTTGCAAGTCCTGGAAACCAAAAAGCACAGCGGGCTGACTTTCCCATCACACAGACTCTAGGCGCCGGGTCCCCACGCGTTGGCAGTTGGCGACCCCCCTCGGGTCCCCCTCGGCCTCTGGTGGCCTGAGAGTGTTTTCCACTTTTGCTCAACCCCTTCGCTGTCGACCAGGCAGGCCCAGCCGCGGCCCAGGCGCAGCCACCGCAGCCACCACCGACCGGAACATGGGGCGCAAGGCGAGCCCCGGGGCGCAGGAGCGCGTGGACGAGGAGGCACGGACCTGCTGCGGCTGCCGCTTTCCGCTGCTGCTGGCGCTGCTGCAGCTGGCTCTGGGCATCGCGGTGACCGTGCTGGGCTTCCTCATGGCGAGCATCAGCCCCTCCCTGCTAGTCAGAGACACTCCGTTCTGGGCTGGGATCATTGTAAGCATCGAGTCTGTTCTGCCTAAGCGCCAGCGGGCATGCCAAGCCGCGTGGCGGAGTGGAGACTAACCCAGTTGCATGCGCTCCCCCACCCCAGCTGCACCCCTAACTGCTTGGAGAGTAACTGTGGGCACACTTGGTCTCCCCGCAGCGAGGCTGGACTCAGGGGATTCCGGTCTCCTCCTGCCTGAGGCTGCTTGCTCCTCCCAGGGCCCTGACTCTCAATCTGCTGAAGCAGGAGAGGCCCAGTGGGTCGTCTTGCACAGCCTCTAAGACAACTCTGAAGATCCACCCCGGGTGGCTCGGTCCTTGTCCCATTGCCCAGCCCCACGCCTGTCTGTCTAAGTAGCACAAAGTGAAGCTCAGCTTGGGAAAAGCAGGGTAGGAAAACCTGAACTTGGAGTCATGCTGGTTTTGTTAAACTTCAATGCCTTGTTCTCAGGCAGGGCCAGAGAACACCCGCCAGCACAGACCAGACCCACACAAGTGTCTGGCTATGGAAGAATGTGTTAGGGACTGTCTTAATTGGCATCCAGCACTACGAGTTAGTGTGGGAATTCTTTAAGGTAAAATAGGTTCTGCTCACTGAATACCTACTGTGTGCCTGCTCTGTGGGAGATCTACCCTGTGTTGTTCTATTCCTCCACTTTTAGGGAACAGTCCTCAAGCTAGAGAAGCCAGGCTGGCCCCGCCCAAGGTCATGAGCTCCGAAAGTATTCAGACAGCCAGGGTGGCATCTCTGTAGTCAGAGTCTGGCTTGCTATTTTAATACCATAGTATCTAAAGCCAGTGCTAAACTCTCTGACAGGTTGTTTCAGTTGATCGTGAAACAGTGAGGATTGTTACTCCTCTTTGGACAAGAGGAAGCCCAGCAAATGATACCCTCATGCCCAGAAGGTAAAACGGCCTCAGGAGAGACCATCAGGGACCCTTCTGCCTTCCAGCTCACACTGCCATTCCTGTTGCTGACCACACAAGGAAACCCCCAACATAGCTGTGTACGGTGCAGAACTCAGAGACACCTGATGCATATGCATGGGTGCAGATATTTTTAAATTAAGATTATTCGAGCTCACAGATCTTTGAAGAGGAATTTAAAACATTTAATTCGTGTCCCGAGAATTCCCTTGAAATTATCGTGATTGGAGTTTTCTAAGCCAAATGATTTTAAAAATAACTTCTCGCGTAGACATACTGGATATTTTAGTCGCCTCGATGGCTGTTAACAGACTCCGGGGTGTGGGGGGAAGATATCTGTCCTTGAAGGTTAGACAAATGGAAGGGTCAGGAACGAAACTGGTTTTGAGAACTGACTTTTATTTCATCTTCAAGACCAGTTCCAAAGAAATGGATGAGAAGGGGGACAAAGCCATGTTTTAATATTCAAGGCATGATACAGAAATCCTGAAACCTGGGGAATCCAAAGCTCCTGTGAGGTTTGCCGTTCCTAATGGCTTGCTGGGTGTGGCCCGGAGACCCTTCTACACAGCAAGGGACTCTTGTTTCTTCTCCATAGCCTAGGGTTCACTTGAAGCTCACCCACAGCTTGAGGCCCTGCTTGAGTTACCTTTCCACAGAGAATCTGGGTAGAGTAGTGTGTGCATCCAACACAGATGTCCCCATCCTACTGAGGAGCCTCTGAGATGCCAGGTGTGGGGCACATCTCGTCTCAGCAGGATGAGGGCTGTGGGCAGTGTGTCGCTGTCTCTTAGACACAGGGACCCTGTGCTTGCCTGACCACAGTCGGTGGTTGGTGTCAGGGCTTACTTCCAGGATGTCAGGAAGGGAGAGGCAGGAGGCAGATGGTGACGGGCAGGTGTGTAAACACCACACCTGGTGGGGAGTCCTGGCTCTAACATTATTTGCTGAATAACTGTGGGTAAGTTGGTTAATGTCTCTAGGCTTCAATTTTGGGGGCTTGGGGGCTTGTCTGTCTGTCTGTGTCCATGTATGCACACATATGTGTCTAGGAGGGCATGTACACACACACACACACACACACACACACACACACACACACACAAACACATATATGTCCAACCTGTGGAGGTCAGAGGGCAAGGCTGTGATGTATTCTTCAATCACACCTCACCCCACCCCTGTTTTTGAGGCAATGTCTCTCACTGACCCCCAGAATCTACCAACTTGGCTAGATTGGCTGGCCAAGGAGCCCCCCACCCTGATCTCCCCATCTCCGCTCTTGCCGTGATGAGGTCACAGACATCTGTAGCCACACCTAGCTCTTTACGTGGGCGCTGGGGCTCCGACTCAGGTCCACACGTTTGTGCATCAGGCACTTTACCCCAGCCGTCTCCCCAGCCCCGGTTTCTGTTTCTTTGTTCTAATATAGTAAGTCCTACCCCTTAGGGTCACCCTGAGGAGATCAATACACGGGAAGCAGCCCCTGGCACAGTGCCAGCCCATAGCTAACAGGATGACTGTCCCACCATGCTTTAGGTTTGGGGAACAGACCCTGATGGTGACGCTCATCAAGGTCCATCTCCCTGGTGTAAAAGTTGCGCTGTGCTGAGAGGCTCGGTACCAAACTCCTGGTCGAACAGAGCCACACCCACTTCCGGAATGCAGGCGGAGACTCCCACATGGTCCACAGCTGTGGGTGCTTCAGATTTTTTGTTTATCCAGGCAGTCTCTTGGCATAAGGATTGGCTTCGGTTTTAGGACTTTGCTGTCCTGTTAAGGTCCTGTTGAGGTCTGGGTGATGGCATTTCCTTGGTACAGCTCGGATATCTGGGTGAACCCACACAGGGGGCTTCTCTTTGGTCAGGGCCTGTGTGACTTGCTTGGTGACCTTGTACTAAAGGGGCCCTGGGTGATTTATGCTCGGCAATTTCAGGCATGTGAGGTGGTGGGGGACCATTGTGACACTCCGTAAATGTGACTCCGCTCGCATTACCAAAGATTTCCGTATAGGCGAGGAAGACATTGACTGTGGCTGCGGTGGGGGCTGGGACACACCCCAGAGTCCTTTGTAGGTGGCAGAGGTTATAAACCACCCATGATAATGAGAAGAGAGGCGGTATCCCTGAGGACAAATGGAGTTGCGGGCAGAGCCCCCAGGAGAGAGATGGTGGTCCTCTGTGCCTGCGCACTCTTTTCCCATTTACTGTTTGAATCAGATTGCCGATCTAGGTTTTAATTTTATGTTTGGTCTTCAAGACAGGATCTCACATAGGGACTTGACTTAGCCAGCTTTGAACTCCTGATCTTTCTGCCCCCACGTTCCACACGCCCAAGCAATTTCAGTTCTCCTTAGGCCAGGGAAGGGATCCGGGACTGTGGGAATTGAGCGAGCACAGTTCTGATTGAGATGTCTTATGTGTTTAAACTTGGGTTTATTCTTCTCTGTTCAGTAGCATGTGTTAGGGGCATCTGCCTGCGTCTAAGATGGCATTCCCACAGCTGGGGGACATCTCCAACTGCTGATGGACTGGCCCCTCATCACATCTGACAGTAACGGATAGTGCCCATTAGAGATGTACCCCACACCCGCGTTTCCAGAGCCCATCTTTGCTTGGAGTCCCAAGGGGTGCTTTATTTCCTTTGGCGTCTTTGCCCTGAAGTCAATTTCAGCGCCTGTTCCCACATCTCACCTCCCCTGAGGACATTGTGATGTTCTTGTCTCTAGTACCCAGCTCGTCTCTACTCACCAAGTAGGTGAGGCAGATGAGAACTTTCTCTCATCATCCTGCCTCTGCCTCCTGAATGCTGGAATTGCAGGCGGGTGCAGCCGTGCACTGCCTCCTGCTATGTTCCTAAGCTGCTAGGCCTCTCCCTCCATCATGTCCACTGGAATCCAAACTCTGAGATACATGCCATATTAGCCCTGTCAGAATTTAAGGCAAAAGCTTAAAAGAAAGGGAATTGTGTTTCCTGTATTCAAGTCCGTCACGAATCCCACGGAATGAGTGTGGAATGAGAAGTCCTGCTGGGTATTTCACAAACGGTGCAGGAATAATGGTGCATGGCAGTGATCCCAGCACTCCAGAGGCTGAGGCAGGAGGATTGCAAGTTCCAGGCCAATCTAAACAGTAGAGTGATACCCTATCTCAAAACATAAGGGCGCGCGCGCGCACACACACACTTCCGATTTCTCTGGGGGATTAGAAATGCAGGTGCATTTGGATGCTTCAGATCGGCTTAGGACTTGACACAGTGGAAGAGGAACCCATGGATGGCTGCTTTTAAGAGAGAATTGCAAGCATGGGGGCTTGGTGAAAATTTACCGTGAAATTTGCAAGCAGATGGCAAGTCAGGCTGAGGGGTAGTTATTATTCACGATTCACAACTAGAGGAAGCTCGATGCATGGTGTAGCTAAGGAGCTCCACCATCACGAAGACCGGCCGGAAGGGCACAGGTTTGGTGCTGGCTTTCATCAAGTCAGGAAGCCAAGGGGACTGTCACTTTCCACACAGGAGTTCTGAGATTTGAAAAATTAAATCTGGAATACTATTTTTAGAAACACACTGTGTAATAATTTATTATTTTTCATACTAGGACTTTAATATGTGTTCCCAAACCTAGTACAACACCTCGGGTACCACTGGGTGACAGGTTTTATTATGTGACTGTCACAGGGTTGTTAGAACTCAGGAATAATGAGTACAGGGCTGATCCAACCAATCCCCACGGAGCATACATAACAGATGAATAGTAAGAAAATAACTTGATAGCCATGTGAAATTCTCACATCAAATATAAAAATTTTAATGAGTATATGAAAATAGGATGGAATATTTAAGAATTTCAGGGTAGAAGAGGAAGGTTAGGACAGAACAAAATCCACCAGAGATACATGGGCTGAAACTTTGCTGGTAGGCCATGATCTCGTGGTGTTATACAGAATAATAGAAATGGGTTAAATTAAGATGTAAGAGTTAGACAATAAGAAGCTAGAGCTAATGGGCCAAGCAGTGATTTAATTAATACAGTTTCTGTGTGATTATTTCAGTTCTGGGTGACCAGGACAAACAAGCGGCCT